TATTAGTATTATTTTTTTAAAAGCCCAGTTTAGCAAGAATAATTTAGAAATCTGTTTAGAGATACCTAGGTTAGATGGTGATATTTATTTATTTAACGTTATAGTTGATTTATGAGATACCTAGGTTAGATGGTGATATTTATTTAACGTTATAGTTGATTTATATGTGTTATTGAAAGTCTTACTTTCAAGCAGTTCTCATTTGAGGTCATGTAAATAATCAGGGAGGTATTTGGGCCCCCTTAAAGTTAGCAGGGGCTTTTATATATGGTAGTGGAAGAAGACTGTAGTGGATCACTGTTTTAATGATCTACTTTATGAGTAGACCAACATGATTATTGCACAGATTATTTCAAGGTGGAAAGCTTTTTTGGGTCAACTATCCACACAGATGCCACATAGCAACTTCCAAAAGTGTTGAGACTATAGCTTGGTCTTTCACCCTGTTCTAATTACCCCAGATCTTTGGGTAATCCATTTGAAAAACATATGATTGATTTTGATTTCACCCTGTTAGTCTGGCATTTTTCTGTTTGATTCTTGTGTTAATTCTTCATTCAGATGATGGAAGATGGTATCCCTGGCTGCCGTCTTCCAGTAGAACTGCTGGGTGGCACAAGGCAGTTGCGTCTGCACCTGGTTTGGTTTGGTTTGTTTTCAAGAAAAGTGTGTTTCCTTAAATACACCTCAATTTCACTTACTAATTTCCTATATACAAACCTCATTCAAAAGTGTAATATTCCCCTTTGTCATTGTTTAACTTAATCAGAATATGTACATTGGCAGCTATGTCTCACATCACAGCTTTGTGTCTCTTGCTTTTCCTTCTGCTTATTGTTTCTTCTTCCTGGATTTCCTGTGAAGTCAGCTCTCCACAGAAGTGTGATAAAATAACACTTCTTATTTCCCTGGGGGTTTTGACATGCGTTTCATGGGAAGCTTTGTTTTTGTCTCATGGAACTAGGAATAAACTAATTTGTAGGAATTTAAAAAGAACAACATATATGAAAACACCAGGTAATCAATGGTTATTTGAGACTGTTCCTCAAAGTACAGTAACCAGAGCGGAATGAGCCGTGACATCTACAGAGATTCATTATGCAAAAGACTGTAAAGCTGACTTATTAACACTGTAATTAAGAATACTGGGACTTGGGACTTTAGGTATCTGAGACTGTGCTGCACAAGTGTTCCTTGAAGGCAGCTGGGATTGGAGACCTTTCCAACAACTTCAACAGACACAGTCAGGCCTCTCCTGTCTCCATACAGTACATGGTAGTTACTGCTGACAAATGTATCCTTGTGTACAACCATTCCATTAACCTTTAATGCTCAGGACTTTACACCCTGAGCTGGTGACTTCCAGTATGCACTTCAACAGTCTGCACTCAGAGAAATTTTGTGGACATCCGTTTAGTAAAATGTGAGAACAAATGGGTAAACTGTCAGATGACCTGAGAGTGCTTCATTCAGAGCAACTCAGTTATTTTCTGTCCTCATGGTTTTGGTACAGTGGACCTACTTTTTTCTTCGAGTGGTGTCTGTCCAGTGCCCTTTTTATGTTGTACTACTAGCGATCATGCACAAAAAGCAGTGCAATGTTAAAAGGGCATTGGCCAGCAATGCTATCTACGTTACTCATTATTATTATTATTATAGTGAGAAGTCACTGTCTGAGACCAGAAGGTGATTTGCAAAACAACTGTAGAATGGGATTGCCACTTCCCCCCCCTGCCCCATTGTCTTCTAGTTATTTGCCAAGGGGAAGCATTAACTGGTCTTTTAATTACAAATACCATGATCCCTGTGTGTATTTTTCCTTGGAAGTAAGTGCCCTACAAAGAGGAAAGAACACTGTGTAGCATTCCTATTTCCTACAATATGTTTTAGAGAAATGTTAGAGGTGTGGAGTTGGCTCAAGTTGTTGCTCTGTGTGCATCAGCAACCATCCATCTCTCTCCACTCCATCCCACTGCTTTTTTGCATTTTGTTGTTAACAGTCTTTGCACCTCCGAACCCTAAGAGTTCTCCAACTTTTTATGTGAAGTTACTGTTTTGTTAAAAAGAAACACCTTTATTGAGATTTATGAAACACCCCCCCACTCTGATGGTGCTCTGACATCCGTCTGGTAGCCTTGGTGGTAAAGTACATCCCCAGTGTTGGGAAATGAGTGTGTGTCTAAGTGCATTTTAAAGTGATTCAACACTTGCAAATGAGAATAACAAACTCCGGTGTCTAGAAAGTGTTCCCTGTAATGCAGTTTAATAACATCTGTCTGATAGCAGTTTAGAATCTTTGCTTGCTGTGAGGCAAATCTAATAAATAAATAAATTCAGAATTGCAGTTTCCAGTTAAGAGAGCACCAAACTGTTTGAAATGGAGTTTCTGACAGATCTGTTGAGCATTTTTTTGCGTGTTTTCCCCCTCCTGTTGGTCAGTGGAATGAGAGGGATTATGAATAATAATAATGCCCTGAAATATGTGAGTTCTTGTGTGTCTTAGTATTTGGTGAACATTAACCTTATCCAATTCTCCATGATCCACAGAAACCACTATCTGACTCAACCTGTTTTTTCAGGTATATATTTTGAGTCTACTGATGACTTGTACAGAATTCTTGCTGCTAACGAATGCTCTGACTTTATTGCACTACTGTACTTCACAGCTAGCAGTGCAATAGTATTGTCAAAGCATCTGAAAGCAGAGTCTCACCTCACAGTTTCTGGCACTTTTTTTTCCTAAGCCTGTGAGTAAATTACAAATTTACATTTCAAAACCTGCAATTTCTGTGTGATTGTTGTACAGTATTCATCATAGGAATGGTCCTACCCTACAACATTAAGGTGATGTTTTTGCAGGGGTATCTTCCCTAAAAAAAAATAAAATAGAGAGAAAAAAAAGAAAAGGAAAAATGGATCATAATGGAGGAGTGTATGGCAGTGCTTATAAGCACATTTTGAAATTGCTGTTAATAAATTGTGTTTCTTTTAGAATATACTTGCAGGAGGAAGCAGTGATACTGAACTGTGTTAGTGTTTTCATTAAGCACAAATGTTAAAATTATAGCCATGTGATGAATAAGTATTCAGCTTCACATTCCATTTTCAATGCATTGAATCATAGTAGTAGCAGGATATTAGTGCCTTACTGTCTTTCTGTAAATCTCAAATTATCAATACTTAGTATTTCAGGAACAGAGCTTTATGGATAAATCTGAAAGCCACCCATATTCATTTTCTGCTTTCCCCTAAAGTGATTAACTGCTTTTCCAAAGAGAAATCAAATGGAGGAGTTGGAGAAAAGCAAAAGATTTTGGGGGGGGATACCTGCCCCTGGAAATGAAAATCTAAAAATGTTTGCTGCTGGAGGAGAACATAAATGATTGAGCAGTTAGGAAAAAAATCCCTCATGACTCTTTAAAAATACATAGTGTAATAAAAAGTGGTTTGTTCTTGCATTTTATCATAACCGGTTTTGGGGGCAAAGGTGGGAAGGAGTTCTGTTGGGCAGATGGTAGCTTATGGGCGTAGTGGGGACAGCTTTCCCTTTCAGTTAGAGGTGCTCAAGGTCTTTACAAGATTTATTTGCCTTTTCTTAAGCTATTATTTAACAATATACTGAAGGTGCATATGTTCAGGGAAAATCATACATTTTCACTACGTCAGAAAGGGGATTTTACTTGTAAATACATTGGATCGAACACTATTCCTTCAGGCTATCTCTAGTTTTAGATCCTCAAAGGTATTAGTGGCAGTTCCTGAAGGTGGATCCCAAGGCTGATATTTAAAACATAAACATCCTTTTGGTCTGACTAGAGGCTACACCCAAACACTACTGAAGCTTGGCACTTTAGCTGCCTCTGCAGCACTGCCAGTCAGTACTTCGGGGTATACTCAATAAATACAGCCCTATTGTGATCCTTAACAGACTAGTAATGATGATGTCAGGGTTAACCTTAAGATAACTAGTGAAAATTGAGTTAAGTAAATTACAACTATTTTTAACTTGCTTTCATCAGTATCTCTTCTGTGATTGTACAATCACTAAATTGTGATGCTAAAAAATTAATGAGTTGTTTGTGAACTGGGAAAACTGCTTTTCTTTAATGCAGAAGTCCTCAATAGATATTAAAACTGCAGACTAAAATTAATTAAGTAATAATGCTATCAGCAGACTGTTTTACAGGACGATTAGATAATTCTCTGGTGGCTTGTTTATCCCATGGAAAGAAATGTGATGTTATCAATTTTATTATCTATTTGTCAATCTAGTTTATTGGGGAATAATAGAATGTATTATAATAATCTGAGAGAATGCATTCCTAATATTATTAATAATATCTCTGTTGATATGCTTGGATCCTGAACATGTGTGATAATCTCTGCTGTCAAAATAACTGAGTATTGCAGTTTTGCTAACAGAACTTTTTATGTTAGACAAGAAAAGCAACTAGCCAAGACAAAGCTCTAAAAAAGGATGGAAAATATGTGAATATCTCAGGAGGAGGAAAAAAAAAATCAAACACCTCCTGCATTCACTGAAGATCACATTCTTTTCTATTGATAGAACTTGCCCCTTTGGTGTAGTACTTAAAAACTTCATCCTGAGACGTTTGGCATTGCAGACGCATGTAAATTAGGAGGAGATGGAAATGTTTTCCTCTGTTTTGGGGAGCTGCATTACGCAAAGAGAACAATTGGGACACTTGGGTTAGAAAGAGGAGGGGTATGTGCACATGTAATTCTTACATGTGAGAGTTTTTGTCAAGTCTGCAAGTTCATTGCTTTGTATTTTTTAGGCTAGCAGTGTGTCAGCATAATTGGCAGACATTAGCTAATGGAATGGATTGGAGGAATAGCAACTTACTTGTACAGTGCACAAGCCTTTAAAACGGAGGCATCTGGCTTCTGCTTTCCTGAAATACAGGAAAGGCAAATGTTCGGGGGTTGTCTGCAATTTTTGTTTTTTAACATACTGTGGCTGACCTGAAATATTTTAGTTCCAGAAGGCAGAATCTGACCTGGATTATATTCAACACAGACTGGAGTTTGAAATATTGAAAAGTCTTCCTGATGATCTGGCACCAGAGGTAGTGTTTTCAGATTAAACTTATAGATTTTATTGCATTTTGTATGAAGTTGGTAATAAATGGGTAATTTTCTTTAATCCTAAAATATATGTGGCTGTTCTTTTATCTAGTTGTTAGGTTCTTGTTATAGAATATTTCTTGTGTTGTATATCAAGATAACTGACTTCATATGAATTCAGTGCAGAAACCAACAAACCCCCTTTGATTTCTTGGTATCATGACATTCTCCCATGTTCTGCTTTGAGAAATGAGTAGTAGAGTTAACACCTAAATTCAAGAGACAGATTCCAGTCTGAGCTAAAACACACCCTTGCTTTGAGATCAAAGATAATCTTCCTTATGAGCAACGACTAAATTCAGATTTGGGGGAGAGAGATGAGAGGAAGAAGAAAACAATAAGTGGCATCATATAAGGATTTTATAAGTCTACATGTAGTGGAAAATAATCTTTTTAGTTATAAATCCCAAATCTATTCCGGACAAATCATTAAAATTCACCAACACAATAAACTTATCCTCCTGTATTTGTTGTGGAACCACAGAGTTATCCTGATTATTCATACTATCATTTCTGCTTATGAAAAATTAAATGTAGAGGTGAAACATCCTCACAGCTACACTTGTCATTGTAAAGGGTCATTTAATGCTATATTTAGCGTCTCTAATGCCTACACTTTTAATTTGTATGGGACGCATTAATTTTCTCTTCTTACATAGTTTACATGTACTTTTAATTTCTACATAGGAAAATCCAGTTGCTCTCTTGGAAGAACTCTCAGTGATGAAATCTCGTTACAAAATGTTGCGTATGCAGCTGAAAAAAGTTTTCATAGAGCAGAGAGAATCCATGAACCGCATCCGTGCTGCTCTGGAGAACACAATGAAGATGGTTCGGGTGTTACAGCACCATGCTGGTATTGAGGTAGTATTTTCATTTTAATCCCTTGGGTCTCAGTCCTGTAAATGAACATGTGTCAGTGTAACCCTTACATAGATGTAAGTAGTTGCACTGGAAACTGTTACGCATGCGAACTCTTAGAAAGCTTTTAGAAGGTAAGTTTACCAAAGGAAATGTTCACAAGACTGGAGCTTTTTTTGGTAGAACACAAGCCTGAGTCATCACTCCACAGTCAAGCTAGTGATGTGCAGTTTGGAGTTCAAGTAATAACGTCATTCTTCAGACTTTTTTGGTTTTATAATACCTTTTGCAGTTAAGACATTGGCTTATATTGTGGTGGATTTGACTATGCTGGGTTAATGCTGGGACTTGATGACCATAAAGATCTTTTACAACCTAAACAATTCCGTGATAATAGTGTGACACGCGTTTGAATAGTTTCACAGCAATTGATGCCTCTGTGCACAGCTGCGTCCCAGTTCTATACTGACATATTTTTAAGTAGCCACCTTAAAGAAATTAGAGAAAACAATTTCAAAAGGCAAAAAAGCTTTTAAGTGGCAAATGTATTTTTGCTGTCTAAAGTAAGTTAAAGCCAACACATTGTAACATCTGCAGTGGAATTGCTTCTAGTACAAAGTAAGTTTTTCTCAGTATAATGCCTATTAAAAAACCCCAGTAACAAATAGAACATTTGTGTAAGTGGTCTCCAGGCACTGCTTCGTTACAGGTTTGAAGAGGTTGTGAAAGCATTAATTCTGTCCCTTTACAAATAAGGGCATTTAGATCAAAAAAGCTAATTGATAGTCTAGTGGCAAAGACAGAACTGGTGTGACTAAAATGTATTCCCAGATCTCAGCTCTCACTCAGATGTTCTAATGACAGTGCCTCGAGATTGTGCTTAATCTGTCAACAGCTCTAGAGAAGTTACTGGTAAGTCTTTATAGATAAAATATACTCTACAACAATTTAAAGGACAGTAGTTATGTCACAGAAAGGAAAAGATATTTTCTCTGCCTGTGTTCCAAGGTTAAGCTGCCAAGAATAATTTCATATTTGGACTTTGTTAAAGTGGAAGACTCTTGTCTCTTGAGTTTTATTTAGACTTTTTAGATAAAGATTTTCATGTACTTCATATATATCCTAAACCAAAGATGGATTAAACTGTTATGGAGAAATTCAAGTCTCTAAGTGAAATACTAGTTCTTATTGAATAATTTATCTTCTTTCTGTTGAATCATTTATAGTACTGATGTAAAAAGAATATTATGGTTAGATTTTTCAGAAATACTTTTCTTGTAGATTTTCTTTCATTTGAAGGCAAGTAGGAGTCTACTGTTAGTTTCCTTAAGAAAAGGGCTACACAGACATTGAGTTCTTCTGTAAATATCATCACCCTAGGAACTGAGCGTATCAGAGTTCTCTGTGTTTGTTTGTTTGTTTTCCCTAGTGCTTACCCCTGTCAGCAGAAGAACAGGCTGCAGTACAGCAGTTAACCTGCCAAACTGTTGAAGAAATGGACTTGCTAGCGGAAGAGGTAATGAGGCCACAGAATAGTCTGTATTCCAGAAACCATTAATCCTGAGTGTAGCTCATCTGAAGTCAGAAAGTTATTGTATTAATACTTCTCAAATGAATGGACTTTTTTTTCCCAGAAATGGGACTAAAGTTTCTAACAAACCTTTTAATTTTTATTTTATGTTGATTAATTTTATGATTTGTTACAATTAAATTGTCCACAAAGGAAAAATTGGCTCTGGTGGAAGACTTTGTTCCCCTTACCTTTTAACTGGGTTACGTTTATGTTTCTTTTCAGAGAGGTAGTTGGTTGCTCTTGTTGATCCTATTGTTCTGTTAATGCATTATATAAGAAGCCTTTGGGTGGGAGTAAAGAATTTAATTGATTCAAACCAACATATATCAAAATGTAAAGAAGTCTAATTTCCTGTAGAACATTAAATAAATTTTGTAATATGAGGAACAATAAGTATTTCTAACTGTAACGCAATAGAAAGATATAAAATAATGCTTGTTAAAATGTCAGATATTCTCCCATAACTACTCAAAGCACAAACTTCTAATATAATTAGCTGCAAAGATTTGGTCTGTGGCTCCTATTAAAAGTAAAATATTCAAGAAGGTTAGTAGAGTGTAATTATCTTATCGACCTTATCTTTTTCTATATGTCTTTTCACTGCTCACTACTCCTCTGTCACAGGAGTCCTTGCTTTCTGTCCCTTTATTGCCACAGTTGGGTGGCAGGAAAGCTGCCCAGTATCTCACAACTTTATTCACTATTTGTTTGTAAAAATCTTCTTTTATGTTGATAAAATCTCTCAATGCCTGTCTTTTATTTAAAGCTCAAGCACACAAGCAGGTCGCTTAAACCAGTGCAAAATGTAGCTATATCCTGCAGTTACTGGGGCCAGTTTAATTTGAATCAGTCCCTATGTCATCATTATGTTTTCAAGATGCTCTCTGAAAGGCAGAAAGAATGGCAAAATGTCACAAAGGGGCTCTGGTATTCTTTCATCAGTGCTGTATTTCTGGCTGAAGGGAGTTAGGTACAACTACCTTCAGCTTGTCAGAGCTGTCAGCCTCTGAAAGCTGCTTGAGAATAAGAAAGCCGTGCAGGGCTTTCAGCTAGATCCATACTGGAATGCAAAGGCAAAAGCTGAAGAGGCTCATCTGACTTGCATATAAATCCTTCTGTATCTGGTTTAAGCTTACCTTTTATTTGAATCCAGGGTTTGTTTAATGCCTAAGATTTTACTGCTGACTTCAGTGGCTGCAAGATCCTTATTTATCCAGTGGTAAAATGTAATTACTTCTGCAGAAATGAAATTGTAAAAAATAATCTCTAAACAAAATACGGACAATCCTGATATTATCTTGTTTATTTTTAGCCATCTTATTCGAGATCTACAAGCCCTGGCCCAACTGAAGGTGAGTGCTGAAGGAATAATCTTCCTGCTATATTTTCCCCCCCTTGACTGATCTCCCCACACCTGCAGCCCCAGAAGGTAAGCTTTATGATAATATCACTCTCTAAAGATCTGTAACATGGAACTCTCATGGTTCTGTACTATTTAAACATACAATGTTACCATCTAGAATTGGGGAGTAATGAATTCAACTGTTTTACTTCTGGAAAATTGTAAATAACTTCAGCTGACAAATAAAAGCTGTATTAACCTTGAGTACCATAGGGGCAAATCTCACAGTAAGGAGGAACAGGCTGAGCCCTCCATACAGTTTCTCTGCTATTTACGGAACATACTGCCTTTTATGTTCAGTAAATTCACTGAACATTTTCACTCTCAAGCACTTACTGTAACTTACTGCTTTTAGGTGAAGTGAAGAATTTAGGCTTTACTATAAGAAACTGACCCCTTAGTTACATTCCACATACAGTTCCCATGTCTCTGGGAGTTTTCCTTGCTTTTGATGGGATTGAAGTAGTTACTATTGTGTTTATGGTCTGGAAGAAAGGGTGTACCAGTCTTACTACAGAAATAGCAGTTACTACAGAAATACTATACTACTACAGAAACCTATAGAGTAGAATTCTTTAAAAACGAACAAACAAAAAAACCCCAAAACAACCAACTAGTCACTGACAGACCAAATCTGTTACTCCACATCAGACCTCAAAATACATGATTTTTTGTTGGGTCTGCAGGTACAGTGATGGTTTGGAGGGAGTATTATCCTTTTCTCCTTCCTTTTGCTGGAGAATCTTCCCTTAGACCCATTTTGGGGAGTTCTTAAAAAGCAACGAAAGTATTTTCTATCTGTAGCCTGATTTCTGAAGAAACAAGTATCTTCTATTTCCCTATTTTTAGAATCACAATTCAAACCATTGACTGAGGAAATACTTCTGACTGTACCTAGAACTATCAGAAGTATTGTTAAGCTAGCAGACTTGAACAATTCGTACAGGGAGTTATTTAACTACTTCCCTGTAAATAACAGATAAGACTTAAAGCCATTAGTAAGAATTTCATAAGCTGTAAAGAAATTCAGCCCTTTCAAATAAAATGCAGCTTAGTTAACCCCTCATGGCTAAATTATAACTTCATAATTTGATTATAATCCCCTACATGCTTCCTGGTGAGGTACACACCCCAAAGTGTGAGGTCACCACACAAACCCCCCCTAAATTAATTTGTATAAAAATGACTTGAATGATTTGATCATTTTCAAAACTGCATGTCAGGTTTTACATTTTTTTCCCTTTTGGTTTCAGTGTACAGATGTCCAAGACTGGGTCTATTCAGTAAGGTTTTGCTGACACAGTTGTACTGCCAAAGCCTTTTAGCTTTCAGAAACTGCATCCAGACTGGGAAAAAAAAGCCCTGATGCTAAACCATGGCCTCAAACCCTGCCCTCCCCGCACCAACCTCTCCCACTCTCCGAGCCTGACTCCTCTCTGGGACATACACTGCAGATTGCTTGCAGGGTGATGTTAAAATTAAGGAAATTTTAAACTTAGGAATTGTGTCTTTAGCCCAAGGGTTGGATTAGCACATGACTTCTCAGTTTGATGTAGAACAGAAAATGTGAATAAGGCGAGATTTACAGAGCGCTTGCAAAAGTAGTTCAGGAAATAAGATGCTTTTTTCAGCCTTTTTCAGCCAGAGCTGATGTTTCATACCCTGTATTGCTAAATAATTTGCTTTTCTCTTCCAGAGGAGCACTGAGTGTTTCACAGATGAACAAGATGAATATGAAAGCCACTGACTCAAGAATACAAATCTTGAAAGAACTGGCTATTGTGGAACTTAGCAAACAAGGAAATGTTAAATTGGTTGTGCGAATAAAAGCTTGGACCATGTTCATTTGACATAGAAGCATCTTGGTCATTATTGCTCCTGGGTTACTAACAAGGAAGTATTGCTGGAGTCTCTCTGTCCTTGTTGCAGATGTCAGAGATGAGGGACTGCATCGTGTCACGCTATGACACTGCTGCTTCCCAGACCTCTTCTGGATATGTTATCATTCTACTAGGGTATGTTTGCTGCTGCAGCCCTTGGCAGCCTCTGCTGAGAAGCAGAGACCAGCTTCTCGGCTCATGCTGGGAGGACTGCCTTGCCAGGGGCTGAGAACTGCACTCGTGATGGTATTGAGGATGGAGTGTTTCAGAGTGTTGGTAAGGATCTCCCTGCTTGCTTTTGTTCAGGTTGACTTTGTTTGAAGAAATATGGGACAGCAACAATGCTTTAATGCATCTGTCCTACTGGGGACCTAAGAAGGCATTTAGGCAACATTTTCTACCAGGTTTCTCCTGTGCTTTTTCCTGCCTGTGTGTGATACTGCCTTCTGCTTGGGGGCAAGGGATAGAGGGGTGTTTTTTTGTCCAAACAAAAGCTTGCATTTGTTGGGGTTATGCAGAGTTCTGTCTTATGCCAAAATCGCTGTGCAGTGCCACTGATGACAGAGGGGAGGAGGTGATTCCTTATAGCTGCAAAGGCATTAATCTGCGAGGCTCTACAAGCAACTGGGAGAACAAGATCAGAACTCAGAAGGGTGTTGGATAATCAGAGCACTAGGGATTAGTCTGATCTCCATGTGCATTTGGAGGAAGAGAGGAATCAGTTTCCCCAGAAGCAGTGAAGGGGAGGATGACCGTTCTCACAGAAAGGACAGAAAACACTGGTGCAGGGTGTCAGGGCCTAGCTATGGGCAGTGCTTTATCCCTTTGCAGTAGAGGCCCGGAACGATGCTGTCTGCTGGCAACACTTAGCATAATTCCTGCGTGAAGAACACCATGGCGTTGGGACTTGTGGTGGCGCTTTCATCAAAAGGAGCCATTTTCTTATGCAGGGCTTCACCGCTGCCTGGCTTTCCAGAGCCAGCTGCACAGCACCTGCATCCACTGTCCCCATCCCGGCCAAACCATTGTACTGAACTGCCAGGTTCAGTACCAAGGTCTGAACTGCCAGGGACAAGACCTGGAGTTTGTCTTCTTCTTCCAAAAGCCATAGGGGTGCAGAAGAAGGAAAGAGAGCAGAGCTGAAACCTGCCAATGTGCAGAGACCTACAGGCATCCCTTTCCCTGGTCAGGAGGCGCAGGCGGGACAAATGGATCACCTGGAAGCTGCTGCTCAGGAACGCAACAAATGCCCCCGAGATGTTCCCTGAAGCAGGACAGGGCATGGCAGCACGCTGCCCAGCCTCTGTCCCATGCCCCACCAGCCCTGGCACACACAGCACTGCCCCTACTCACCGTCGCAGACCTTCTGCATCGTGTCCGTGCTGCTGTACCTCACGTACCG